TTCTCGATTCTCATATAAAATAATGTGAACTAGAAGTTCAAGAAATTCTTCATTTGAAGAAAGTTATATTTATCGACCCAGAAGAGTCATTAAATCAACTCTTCCTGCAGGAAACACTCTTGTTAAAATTGACGTCCCTGAAGGACATGTACAAGTGTTACAAATAAAGGCCAACCTACCTATATAAGGTATAAATTGATTTCAAATATCTCCAGAGATTAAATAAATGTCATGACAAAATTTAACCTCCTGAAGAGGTCGCTCCTGAAGAGCCAGCTCCCGAAGAGCCAACTCTTGAAGAGAATGAAATTATAGAAAAGTTAATTGGAGCCTAATGAAATGTAGCACTTGATATTATAGAAGTTGATGAGAATCATGAATCTAGATCGGTTGATGAATGTCGGCATATAAATGATTGACCAAAATGAAAAGGCCGATACAATCTGAATTAGATTCACTGGCTAAAAGAAATGTATTTGGACATGTAGTCCAAATACCTGAAAATGTAAAGCCAGTTGGATATAAATGGATTTTTGTGAGAAAAAGGAATGAAAATAATGAAATAGTGAGATATAAAGCAAGACTTGTAGCCCAAGCCTTTTCACAAAGGTCTGGATTTGATTATGATGAAACGTATTCACCTGCAGTGGATACGATCACATTTAGATATCTTGTAAGTATTGCAGTGCATGAAAAACTTGATATGCGTCTGATGGACGTTGTCACTGCTTATTTGTATGAGAATCTAGACAATAATATTTACATGAGAATCCCCGAAGGATTCAACATGCCTGAAACATGTAAATCAAATACTAGAGATGTGTATTTTATTAGAATACAAAAGTCTTTGTATGGGTTCAAGCAATCTGGACGTATGTGGTATAACCGTCTCAATGAATACTTAACTAAAGAAGGTTATACCAATGACCCAATATGTCCATTTGTTTTTATCAAGAAAAATGGGTCAAATTTTGTGATTATTGCGATATATGTTGATGATCTCAATTTGATTGGAACTCCTGAAGAGATCCAAAAGACTGTCAAATATTTGAAGAAAGAATTTGAGATCAAAGATTTTGGAAAGACAAAATTCTGTCTTAGTTTACAAATTGAGCATTTAGAAGGTGAAATTTTTGTTCACCAAACTACTTATACCCAGAAGGTATTAAAGCGGTTCCATATGGATAAAGCACATACATTAAGTACCCCAATGATTGTCAGATTATTGGATCCTTATAAGGATCCCTTTAGGCCACAAGAGGAACATGAAGAGATATTTGGTCCTGAAATACCATATCTCAGTGCAATTGGTGCGCTTATGTATCTTGCTAACTGTACAAGACCAGATATATAATTAGTTCCTCACCTACAAGACGACATTGGAATGAAGAATGGTGAGATTGACGTGCTACAAATCCGATCGGATAATAATTTGGTAGATTTGTTTACCAAGACATTGCCGACTGCTACATTGGAAAAGCTGGTGAAGAATATTGGTATGCGTCGGCTAAAAGATCTCATATAATGTTTGCATCAGGGGGAGAATTTATTACACAAGAATAGTGTACTCTTTTTCCTTCACTAGGGTTTTTATCCCATTGGGTTTTTCCCTAATAAGGTTTTAACAAGGCATATTCTTTGTGTCATGGACATCCAAGGGGGAGTGTTATGAAATAATGATAAGATGTGGATGTCCATTGGTATTCTCAAGAAGGATTACAAGATGAAGATGTCCGTTTGTATTTTCAAGATGATAGACATATGTATTCTCCCTAGATTCATTGGTACATTAGATGAACTCATTTATGGATGTACTTGATGTACTAAATTCATGTATTTGTATTTAATAAGGTTCATGTACCTTTGATTTTGGATCACCTATATATAGGGGTGTATCCTACTTCCTTTGTAACCTTGGAACCTGGAAGTACTTTAATCAGTGAATATAATAATACTATAGTTCTCTCCTCTCTTCTCACTCTACTATTTCAATCCCTCCTTTAGATTGTTTATTTTATTAGTTTTACAACATAACTAAGGTTTTTTGTTTGACTTTCAATAATTCTTTTTCTCTTTTTAAATTAAAAAATGAATTAAATTACTCAATATTCAAAATGCACTTGGCTTGTTAAAGATTCCTTCAAACTTAATTTGCTAACTCATCAAGCTAGACAATTTTGTTTGTAGTTTTAAATTTTCTACACCTAAAAATTGATTTTCTCAAATTTAAGTGAATTACTGATTATGTTTTCTCCTTGTATTCGTATATTTTGATGTGCGTGTGTATGTAGTTGGGACTAGTGCGGGCAGGCACTTAATTTTATTAATGTACGTTCGCAATTTTCAAATATACAACAAATCTTAATCGTTGAAACGTATGAGCAATAGCAATTTTCTCATAAGTTTCTTATCTTTTTATTTCTTTCATAGTTTTTGATATCCTGTTTTTCTTCCCTTGTGTAAATGAGATGCATGATATGCCATAGAGAGTTTCCAAAATAATTAACTTGATCTTTCCGCCAATTAACTAGTAGGAGCACAAACTATCTTGGGCTTTAATTTTTCTAATCATTTGGGGTTCTTTTAATTTCTTTTTCTTTTTTGAGTCCATGAACACATGTACTATTGTGCAACCAAGTACGCATAGAAGAATGTAAAATTGCTTTACTTCACACACAACATGCAATTTTACTGAAATTTTAATTCTTTCCGACTCAAAAATTGTTGTGGACAGCCTACTGGAGCTTCAAGAAGCAGGGAGATCGAAGGAAAACTAAAAGAAAGCACTCCTGCAAGACTGCTTGCAGCTGCTAAAAAGGATCCCCCCATCAAAAGCTATGTCATTGTAAACGAGAATTCAAACAGACTGCTGATCACCTGTCAAAATATGCTCAATCTGGGGTGCCTGTAGAAGAAGGATGTAAAATCTTTAGCACCCTTACTCCCTCACTTTTGCCTGTTTTGACGAATGATGAATGCACTTTGAGGGAGCTTTTGTTGTAATCTGGGGTGCCTTTTTATATTAATGAAATTTTAATATCTTTCAAGAAAAAAAAAAGTGCGAATTGGATTTTTTTTTTCTTTTTGGCTAAAAGGAAAAGCACAAAATAGATTTACAACATTCAAGTTGCATTACCTCCTTAACTTTATTAGTATATAGAAGCACCTGTTCTGAGCGTGGCCCGCCGAAACGAATTAATGTGCTTTCATACAGGAAAACATGTGATTTATCCAAAGTTTCACTCCGTTCCTACTTTTGCCGAGTCAGAGTTAGGAAAGTTTCCCTATTGAGCCAAACAATTATACTTCTGCTGATCATCCAAATTGTCAAAAGAATTTCCATTGAAGTGGACAAAATGCTTATAATAGGGCTTCATAATTTGACGGCTTGTACAGGGTACCTCAGCCCAGTAAAAGCTGTGCTCCCATCTGTCTCCGGGCAGAGGCGCAATGAGAAGATACCGATGTAGTAGTGTAGCATTAATTACTATGGCAAATTATAAGGTAAAAAAAAAAAGAGGAAAAAAAAAAGATATATCGATGTCATAAGTGTTATGGTTACAAACTTTTCCTCTTCTAACTCCCGTGGCATATCATGTTGGACTTAATAATGTAAAATTGGCAATTCTACTAGACCAAATCTATGATGTTATTTTCATTGAAATTGACATGAGAACATCAGATGATATGTTCAAGGATACAAATTAACTTGATTAACAACAGAGTTAAAGGGTATATTAAAGATTTTGTACATTAATAGCAACATTTTCAGTTATTGGCCTACCCATAAAAAGAAACATTTTTAGTCAAAGCAAAAATTGCAAAATTTGAGGACCTAAAGAATAAAAAAAAAAAAAAAGATGAAATCGGCGGAAGTTTTGACTACACGCAAAAAGACATGTTTTATTTTTAGTTCGCATATTCTTTTTCCGTGCAATTAATGTTGATTGTGGACATCTTAAGAGCATTGGATGACGTGGTTGAGTCTTGTGCATGTTGGTTGTCAAAAAAAAAAAAAAAAAGGTCTTGTGCGTGTTAAAAGCAAGATATGCAAAATTTTGTTCTTCTTTTACAAAACCATAAAACAAATATCACATAATCCATATCCAAACGTAGCAGAGTACTCAAATAGTTAACCAATTGTCTGTGGACCTCGATCAATGACTTGGTAATTTAATTTCACAAAAAGACTCTTTCAAGTGACAATCTTTTGATTGTGTTTTGTAGATAAATGCCCATGCAAAGCAGCCCGAAAAGAAAGTTGCCTTCTTTTCTCCTATCTGAACCAACCAACACCCCCCCCCCCCCCCCCCAAAAAAAAAAGAACCAACCAAATAATAAAAAGAAGAAGAAGAAGCCAGTCCTGCTAGTCTAGGGGATTCGTAATGGCTTTACATATGGATGGGCAACAAGAAGAAGAAGAAGGTACGGGGAATTGAGCATCAAACTAGAACATTATAGTCTTTTAGATTTAAGATTAAGGCTCTGTAGCGAGCCTGAGAGTCTCTGAAAGATGGGAGGATCCACTGAACGAAGCGGTGGAAGCAGAAAATGAAGAAAGAGTTTTAAGACGATCTTGTCAATTGATGACGATGGAGAAGCTGAAAAAGTTAATGATCCCTTCAAGTGCTTGGCAAATGAGTTGATAACCTCCCACATATTTTACAGAATCCACGAGTCCAAGTCCCTCTGCTTGATTTCCAAACATTTCTATGATCCACATGTTTATAGGCTCCCTCAGGTACAAGGATAAGGATCCGGAGTTCCTCGAGCAATAAACACTTCATTTTCAGTTGACCAAATAAAATTCTACAAGATAGGTGCAATACAATATGATAAAGGTAATGGTACCCTTGAGAAGTGGACCAGGTGATGCAAAATTCGGCTTTCTATTTGCAGTAATATAAACTAAAGCAGTTCATCTATCACTTAAATTCAACAACTAAAAGAAGGATTACTAATCGCCTTTTGTTTAGCTAAATCTATTTTTCAAGCCCAGCATAAGCCACAAACGACTGATGTTATAAAAAACATATGAGTATCCAACTAGTTTGTGAGGTAGACACAGAAAAGCATAAAATAATAAATCATGCAGGAGTCTCAAGCAGTATGAGCCGGTCGACAACTTCAACGGCAAGATAACCATAACCAACATGGCACATAAAAGGGTTATCAAGCATCCATTTTGCCTACGCCGGCATACATGAATATGACATATAAGCCAACTTCACAAACCAAATCAAGTCCTACATATGAAATTCAGATACGTCAGCAGTATTTTAATTCAAGCTCAGAAACACAAGGTCATTCTACATAACCAACAAAAAGCAGCAAACTTCCATCGGACCATGATCATGTCATGATGGAATCACCACCACCTGCAAGTTGAATAGAAAAAGGCTGTCAATTACATGCACAAACCACAAACAAGGAGGAGGCAGGGAGGGAGAAGATACCAAAGGACGAAAGGGAAATTGGGAATGGAGAAAGGCACAAAGAGGGTCTACACCAGGAAAAAAATTCAGAACATTTTTATTTTTACATTTTAACCATGATAGGTTGTTTCTTCAGTGGGATGCTCTGGGGTAATTAATTATAAATATGACACAGTAGTTTTCATGGTTTCACCGTGAAGTAGAATACTAAACCCCTGTAACATACTATGAACAAACCACTGAACGCAATTACAGAAACAAGGATTAAAATCTTTCGCATATGCAAAGATGGGATACAAAATATCGCATCACATCACAAATTATGTAACCTATGAGTTTAACGCTATCATCCCTATGCCTGGGGAAAAAGCAAACCAATCGATTTCATTATCCAATTATGCTTGTATCTGAGAGGCTTTACTGGTAGCTTGAATCATCAAAGAATTAGAAATCAACTAAAAATCAACTAGCATACTGAAGAGTCAAGAACGCTGGCTCAATTACATCAAAATTGATCATGCAACAAAGTTAAACTATGTGGCCCTCTAGCTAAGAAAAGTATGCTGAGAAATATGAACACTGAAAAAATGATTATCCGTACTGACAAGGATGAAACAAACAAATATTAGGACTCAGGGGATAATGATAATGGGGTGGGAGAAAGGAACAAGGCATATATTTGGCAGGGAAAATTGAGTAATTTGTTTACTTAACGGATGCTTGTCATAATAATTTAGTTTCTTAAATTATGCAAGATTTCAAGGATTCGACACTTTTGGAGTCATTTGAGTACAATAAGGAGCAATGAAGTACGTAGCTTTCCAACCTCATATTTCAATTGCATCATGAACAAATTTGCTAAACGGAATTAGCATGCAAGAATTAAAATGTTTGAGCAATGCACAAAATTGACTTGATTGCCTTCATAGCTAACGCATTGGAACAGGTTAGCAAAAGTACTTACCTATTTGCAACTACTTACAAGAGATAAGTCAATTTGCAACTACTTTAGGCCTGCAGAACTTGACATAGTATTCATCAGGTTCTGGACCTTCCCATACCAGAGCTTGAAAGGTAGTCAAACCACAAGCAGCATAAGGATCCTTGGCCAGGAAGGTAATATAAAAATTGGCACAAATTGGACCCCAAAATCGTGCGTTTGCCTTCTCAACCTTCGCAAACTCATAGTCTGTGTCCTGCAGAATAAATAAATAATTTCTTTCCAAGAAGTTAATCAAAAGACATTAACTACGGCTGATTTATGGGGGGTATCAAAAGAAGGAGGAATGCAATATAGCAAGAAAAAGAAGGCATACTTTCTTTTGGTTGTGATGCTCAATTGCAAGCTTTGCCAGTTTAGTAATACTTTCCAACTCCAGTAATGGAACGAAGGCCAGGTTCCTAGCATCATGGTACGGGATAGGCAGCTTCGTAGTATCATGGTACGGGATAGGGTCAATATCAAAGCCCTGGGCAACACATACAAAAACAAAGCGACAGGAATTTCAGAATACAACAAATTTAAATAAACAATACGGGCAACAAAGATAGAATTGCCAGCAAGCATGAAGGCAGGCATAGCATGGGGAGGAAGAAAGGAACAAAGGGACAAAGAAAAACCCGGGTACCTCGCTATCTACGAGCTGTCGCCAATACTTAAACCATACATCATTCTCGTCATTGCAGCCATCAGGGTAGTAGTCGTTCAGAATTGAAACGATGCTATCCAACGCATGGTCTTTTTCGGTATAAACCAATTGATCAGCTTGTAAATTTATTTGCCGAATGTCTTCGTCATATAACTCCAGTTCATCTTTTTCGTCCGATCTCTGCTTCTTATGGACCGGCGACGATGACTCTTTCAAATCTCCAACCACCGCAATCCCTCCTCTTCCAGCATCATCCCACGGTACCTCAATCTCTGCCATGGATGAACCAACGACGCCCTAATTTCGTTTATTCTGTATTTCCGGTAATAGGACGAAGCCCTACTCGTCTAATGACAGGCTAAAACTTCGGCGCTGCGACGTTTTATTTATGGGTATGTAACAAAACCGACCTACTGGCTGGGATGGTCCCGGATCCCCATGGCCCAAATACCACGCCTTTTATATATATACTAGTTTTTTAGGCCTCGCGCTACGCGCGAGGTTGCCCTAACTTGTGTTAATTTAATTTAATTTTATGGAGTAGGTTAAACGATGATAATTGGTAATATGATTGCATTCGATAATTAGAAAGTCATTTTGTATAGAAGGTATAGATGTATCAGTGTATGTATATATCAACCGTTATATTAGTTGTTTTTAAACTGGTTTTTTTTTCCCCTGGTTGAAATATTTATTTTAAGTTAAACGTTCCTTTGTTGGAACACAAGGGAAATCGTAGTGAAGAACAAATTCAGTTTATCATGAAAATTCTTGCTTCTCAAGGTAAAACAAAGCAAGAAAGCTAAAGTGGGAAAACAAAAATGTTGGGCTTGAATATAAAGTATGGAGTAGAGGTGTTGAAATGGGTGACTTGGGTGGGTTTGGGTTGGATAAAATGGATAATGGGTATAAGTGAATTAACTCATTTATACCCATTTAATTAGATAGGTATAAATGGGTAAGTTAAAAAATGAATTGGGTAACTCAATTATCCATTTACAACTTATTTATTTTAACTTTTGGTAAACTCATTTAAATTTATTTTTGCAAAACAAGTTATCAATTTATACCACTCTTTGTACGCATTATTAGTTTTAAATATTTATTTATAATGTTCAATAAATTTAATTATCAATTTTTTTTCATTTATACTCTATGTTACAAAATTATCTATTATTTAATAATTGAATAATAAGAATATAAAAATTTGAACTAAGTACTATAAAAATTAATATAAAAATTTAATTCAAAAATTTTGAACTTATACCATCTATTCATGGACCGATATAGGTAAATTTAATTAGGTGAGTTGATTTGTCACCTCTAGTAATAATTGAATAATAAGAATATAAAAATTTGAACGAAGTACTATAAAAATTAATATAAAAATTTAATTCAAAAATTTTGAACTTATACCATCTATTCATGGACCGATATAGGTAAATTTAATTAGGTGGGTTGATTTGTCACCTCTAGTATCGAGCCATTATAACAATTGGTTTGAGTTTTATTAATATTGTCAACAAAATGGCTACGAAAAATGAGTACGAATTTGGGTTGAATAAAATGGGTAATGGGTATAAGTAAATTAACTCATTTATACTCATTTAATTAGATAGGTATAAATGGGTAAGTCAAAAAATGAATTGTGTAACTCAATTACCCATTTACAACTTATTTATTTTAACTTTTGGTAAACTCATTTAAATTTATTTTTGCAAAACAAGTTATCAATTTATACCACTCTTTGTACCCATTATTAGTTTTAAATATTTATTTATAATGTTCAATAAATTTAATTACCAATTTTTTTTCATTTATACTCTATGTTACAAAATTATCTATTATTTAATAATTGAATAATAAGAATATAAAAATTTGAACTAAGTACTATAAAAATTAATATAAAAATTTAATTCAAAAATTTTGAACTTATACCATCTATTCATGGACCGGTATCGGTAAATTTAATTAGGTGGGTTGATTTGTCACCTCTAGTATCGAGCCATTATAACAATTGGTTTGAGTTTTATTAATATTGTCAACAAAATGGCTACGAAAAATGAGTACGAATTTGGATTGGATAAAATGGGTAATGGGTTTAAGTAAATTAACTCATTTATACCCATTTAATTAGATAGGTATAAATGGATAAGTCAAAAAATGAATTGTGTAACTCAATTACCCATTTACAACTTATTTATTTTAACTTTTGGTAACTCATTTAAATTTATTTTTGCAAAACAAGTTATCAATTTTTACCACTCTTTGTACCCATTATTAGTTTTAAATATTTATTTATAATGTTCAATAAATTTAATTACCAATTTTTTTTCATTTATACTCTATGTTACAAAATTATCTATTATTTAATAATTGAATAATAAGAATATAAAAATTTGAACTAAGTACTATAAAAATTAATATAAAAATTTAATTCAAAAATTTTGAACTTATACCATCTATTCATGGACGGGTATAGGTAAATTTAATTAGGTGGGTTGATTTGTCACCTCTAGTATCGAGCCATTATAACAATGGGTTTGAGTTTTATTAATATTGTCAACAAAATGGCTATGAAAAATGAGTACGAATTTCGTCCAACATGGTAAGTTGTTTCTTCTACAATCTATACTGAAAATGTTAGGCCAGGTAAGATGAGGGTTTGAAAATCAAAGTCAAAGGTAGATGCCACGAGTGCAGGACCATCTCTCGCTCTCTCTATCTCTGTTGGGCTCAATGTATCCAAAGTGGCAAAATTTTCGTTGAAATGGAATTTCTCATTTCACATGTTAGGCGTAGCTGGTGTATTCGGCGGCTCCCTATTCAGTGCCCATAACAAAGCCACGCGGATAGCAAAGCCACCACCACTGAATGGCAAAAGACCAAACTGCCCCTCAAGCTCACACAAATCACGCTATAACCGGCCCATTTTCACTGTAGCTAAGCCAACTGACGCTTTTAGTATAGTAAAGATATATATATATATATTATTTTAATAATAAAATTACATATGTATCCCTAATATTTTATTATATGTTAAGAAAAATTATTATTTTATATATTTTTAAAAAAATAAATAATTATATTTATTTTTTTTTTAAATCGAGCTCGAGTTTTACATTGAGAGCTCGTCAAGTTCGAATTCGAATTCGAGTTTGGGAAAATTAAATTGAGATCAAGACTCGTTTTAATTAAGTCAAAACTCGACTCGACTCATTTGCAACCTCATTTATGATACCAAAAAATCTTCACGGTGCATTTAAAAAAAATAAATAATTATATTTATTTTTTTTAAATCGAGCTCGAGTTTTACATTGAGAGTTCGTCAAGTTCGAATTCGAATTCGAGTTTGGAAAAATTAAATTGAGATCAAAACTCGTTTTAATTAAGTCAAAACTCGACTCGACTCAATTCATTTGCAGCCTCATATATCGTATATGATACCAAAAAATCTTCACGGTGCATTTCAAGATGGGCGGTGACTATGTCGTTATGCCAGGTCCGATTCCGATATAAAATGGTGACGAATAATCGGACTCGCAATAACCAATCACAAGCCTGATAAGCGGACCAAATCAATTGAACTCAAATTGCAAACTCCCGCTTTTAGTATAGGTAATATATATATATATATATATATATATATATATATATATATATATATATATATATATATATTATTTTAATAATAAAATTACATATGTATCCCTAATATTTTATTATATGTTAAGAAAAATTATTATTTTATATATTTTTAAAAAAATAAATAATTATATTTATTTTTTTTTAAATCGAGCTCGAGTTTTACATTGAGAGCTCGTCAAGTTCGAATTCGAATTTGGGAAAATTAAATTGAGATCAAGACTCGTTTTAATTAAGTCAAAACTCGACTCGAATCGATTCATTTGCAGCCTCATATATCATATATGATACCAAAAAATCTTCACGGTGCATTTCAAGTGCCAGGGCTCGCTGAATTCCGAAAGCACTTCCAGGCTCGAGACAGTGATGTCCTAATAATCACCACTCCCAAGTCGGGCACCACATGGCTGAAGGCCCTCGCATTTGCCTTGATGAACCGAAATATTTATCCCATCAACCAGAACCACCCTTTGCTCAACCAAAATCCTCATACTCTTGTGCTACACTTGGAATATCCTAACCCTTATGATAAACAGCACCCTGATTATTCTTTCCAAGGATCAAGAAGACTGCTTGGAACCCACTGCCCGCTTGTGCTACTGCCGGAGTCAGTGATGAACTCGGGTTGCAAGATTGTCTATCTATGCAGAAACATTAAGGATATTTTTGTCTCGTATTGGCACTTCACTAATAAGTTGGGGAGTACTGAAACCTCTTTTGAGGAATTTTTTGACCTGTTTTGTAAGGGAGTGAGCTTATCTGGACCTGTTTGGGATCATGTTTTAGGTTACTGGAAAGCAAGCTTGGACAAGCCCCAAAAGGTACTTTTTCTGAAGTATGAAGAAATGACACAAGAACCAGCTTTTAACCCGAAACATCTTGCCGAGTTCTTGGGTTGTCCAATTTCTCAAGAGGAAGAGACAGCAGGAGTGGTTGATGAGATTTTAGGGCTTTGTAGCTTTGATCACATGAGGAATTTGCACAGGCGAAGAAACGAACGAGACACAGTAATGGTCATTGGGAAGAAAGATGTTCCAAATCATACTGCCTAGAAGCGGCCGAACAAAAGGAGTAAGCAGGAGGGGTTGGGCCAAAAGGTGAACGAGGCTTTTCGCTCCTCTCCTTCTTTAGTCGGAAGTTAGTACCAGGCCGGGAAAAGAGTTCCAGGCCTTAAGAGCTTAAGAGGAGATCGAATTCTCCCCGGAACTGGAAGATCATTATCAACGGATATGCTTTTTTTTTTCCCACAGGGGTCGAAAGCAGTTGAAGCGCAGGAAAACAGAAGCAATCAGTCTTCAAAAAACTTTTGTGTAATAAAGCTTGCACTTCTTGTGGCCACGCGGACAGCACCGAAGTTCCAAAGCCATGCAGACAGCAGCAAAGCCACGCAGCATCGAAGTTCCAAAGCCATGCAGACAGCAGCAAAGCCACGCGGACAGCATTGAAGTTCCACGGCCATGCAGACAGCTGATAGCACAAACCCACCGCCCACAACAAAAGACCAAACCGCCCCTCAAGCTCACACAAATCACAGTATAACCGGCCCATTTTTACTGGAGCAAACCAAACTCGCGCTTTTAGTATAGTAAAGATATATATATATATATATATATATATATATATATATATATATATATATATATATATATATTTTTTATTTATTTTGAAGTTCTTTCTTGATTGAGGTTAGTCCAAAACCATATTCAATAACGCACCCATTAAAGAATACTTTTTTTTTTACCTGTTAAAGAATACTAGTAGTATTTATGTATTCGATAACGCATGTGCATATAATATATTTGTTAAATGAAATCAAATACAACTATATTACATGCTATTTGTACTGTTTAAATGAAATCAAATAAACATATACATTAGTTTTCAAAAATAAAAAAAAGATTATTCATACGCATAATCAATGAAGAATGAAAATTTTAATTTTGTAAAATATGAGGGGTGAAAAATTTTATTTTGTGAAATATGAGGGATGAAAAAATTCATTTATGAAATATGAGAAACTATAGATTCGATTATGTGAAATATAATTTGATAATAGCTTATTTATATTGATTCTCTAACCAATTAAATCAAACATGAATTACATTTTGTATTCAGTAAACTTTCAATTTGGTTCAAACTTGGCTCGATTAACATAAAATTCATACGAAGAAATATGAATTCGCCTCTTTAAAAACTCATATGAATTCGGCTTGATGAATAAATAAGCCAAACCTAAAAACAATTTGAAACTTGTTAAAATAGATTGACAAGCTTCAATACTAGAGTATTTGGTTTGATTGTGTTCATTTATACTCCTATTTGCTAGTAACATTTTTGAAATTTTTGTGGGGCAAAAGTAAAATGTAAAACATATATCTAATGAATACCAAATTCTCAAGCTATAGGGGGAGTACAGCAAGTAATTGATATCAGAATAATTTTGTAAGTTTAAATTCACAATACAAACAAAATTTTTAAAATTTATAAGGGAGCAAATGAGATTTTTAAAATTCTTGGGATGCAGCTGGATCCGTCCTTGTCCAGTCCAGTTTGCATGTAACTGAAACTCCACTTTTTTCACCTTTTCTTGTCGAAGCAAGCATTTGTATCTAGTTGTTGTTATGTAATCAGAAATTCTGCGAATGGAAGTTAATGATTGAAAGCCATTTACACGAAAGTGAAAATACTATTAGCACTTTCAAACTACTTTAGTGTCAAGTATTTTAAAGTAATAAAACACTGTAAGACACTGTAAATTTGCTTCGCATTGTACGCAACAAAAACCCATCTCGACCCATATCTCTTCTACAGAATCTAGACTTAAAAAGTTGGATCCAGATCCATCAAGGACCTAACGGCATAGTTGGGTAAATCTCGATCCATTGATAACTTGACATGCCTACTCCAAAGGTAAAGGGTATATCACTCTATTATTACTTTAATTTAAATTAATCACAATTAATCTTTTAAAGTATATCACATTTTTCACTTTATCCCCTAATCATTTTTTTGTCTCACTTTATCCCCCATTGGACAAAATTATCCCTCTATTATTCTAAACTCTTATTTTTCTCTTTTATTTTTTTTCTTTCCCCTTTTTTGCTCTTTTATTTTCTCTGTCTCTTTCTTCTTTCTTTAATTCTTCCTTTTTCCGACAAAAATTTTCATTTTAATGATTTGAATTAAAAAAGAGAAATTGCAGAGATCTATCTTCTCCTTAAATGATTAAAAGAATATTCAAATCACTTTCCTAAAATACAATTTTTAGCCTTTCAATTCTTTTAATTTTGGTTTTTCCTCTTTTCTTTTTAGTTTCTCATTTTATTATCAAAAAAATATGATAAGATGAAATTGTAACTTGATTAATAATTATCAATTGAAATTTGTGACACGTGGCATCATATAAAAAATCAAAATTAATTTTTGATGCCTTTTAAGCCTTCACCCCAGAAATGCAAATACAAATTCAAAATAAAATTTTCATTGAGATAGAGTTTTCTATTGGGAAGGATGAGAGAGAGAAGAAAGAGAAAAAAAATAAAAGAGAGGAAAAAAGGTAAATGAAAAGTCAAAATAATGGAAGGGTAATTTTATCCTATAGAGAATTAAGTGAGCAAAATTAAAGGTTAGAGGGTAAAGTGAGCAAAATGAGGTAGGGATTAGTTGTAATTAACTATAAGCGGCAAACCAACCCACTTAACTAAATTTACCCATACCCGTCCATGAATAGATGGGTATGGGTATATTAAATTTTTGTATATGGGTATAAATGGGTTACCCAATAATACATATTTAATAAATGGGTATTATTGAATAACCCATCAAACCCAATTAATCCATTTAGAATTCTTTTCCCCCAAGTCTCTTCTCTTCTCCCACCCATTTTTTTTTTTTCAAAATTTTCATTTTGTCATGATGTTAACTACTTTTGTTTCATTATTATTATTATTTGTCGGTTTTATCTTATTATTTTATTTTCTCTTAAGTTGTTAACTTGCTCATTTTTTAGATTACCAATTTATGATAAATTTTAGCCTCTTTTCTTATCTTTCTAAAATGAAAATTTTAATTTATATATGAAAAAAATGTTAGGGGTTCAAAATTTTTGGATTAAGTTTTTATATTAACTTTTATAGTATTTAGTTCAAATTTTTTTATTCTTATTATTCAATTATTAAATAATTTGTAATTTTGCGACACAGAGTATAAATGGAAAAAAATTGGTAATTATCCTTATTGAGTATTATAAGTAAATATTTAAAACTAATGATGGGTACAAAGAGTAGTATAAATTGATAACTTAGATTTCAAAAATGAATTTAAATGAGTTTACAAAAAATTAAAATAAATGGATTATAAATGGGTAATTGGGTTACCCAATTCATTTTTTGACTTACCCATTTATATCCATCTAATTAAATAGGTATAAATTAGTTGACTCACTTATACCTATTACCCATTTTACCAAACCTAAACCCGTCCAAGTCACCCATTTTGACATCTCTATAATTAACCCTTAAAATAACTGGCCAATGTCTAGCCTGGCTAGTGCTCTCAAAATACACGGTACAAAAGCATAATAAAACTGGATATTGCATACAGGTGAATTATATGTAGTCACCTTGTAAGTGGTAACTATATATGCCAGGACTACCATTTTACCTCCTCCAATTCTTTTTAGAGAAGTGATATGATATTAACACTCTCCTTTTGGTTAATCTTCTATCTGATAACATAACAAGACAATAATATCCATGGACTGAGCTGTTGAAAATTGACAAAAAGTTTACGCCACTAGTTGATTTTCACCCAAACTTATTGTCGCCGTTTATTACTTCGGTGACAATCGCTGCAATTTCACCCCAATAGTCATGGACTTTGACAACAATATATCTATATCTATAGAATACACCACAACCCAATTAAATGTGGGGGAGGGGAGCGTGGGAGTTTGGTACCTATGGCTGAAGATAGTTTGTAGCTTTTGTTTGGTGTTATAGTAAAAAAGTATAATTTGTAATAAGAAAAAGAAAGCTATTAAAAGATTTAGTGTAACTGTATATTAAAGTATAAATATAGAAGATTAGGTAAAAATGGAATTCATAAGTTTCCTTCATAGTGCTTCTCGTTTGCATGAAACTAAAGTAGTAATCTATGGGATTTAACTTTTTCTTGTAGATGATAGTAGTTTGTTGTAATCATGTCTTTCCTTGTACTGGCTCTATTATCTTGTAGATAGGTTGAGAGCAGCAAAAGTTTTGGATATATTATTAGAAGCTATTTTTGAGTGTAATAATTTCGTTTGAAGATTTGTAATTTTTGTAATACTTATTGTGGTACGATGCTTACAAAGGGACGGGAGCAATGTCAACTATTAGTGTCATTGGTTGACAGTTGTATAACATTCTTAGTGAGAATATATCTATAGTGCGCTTTTATTAATTGGATAGGTATTAGTCGAACTGTTGGTCAATAATGATGACTTGCTAGTACGTGGATCTGCTGTTATAGATTGTGGTTGAATGTGAATAGCAATTGCAAGAAGGTTTGAACATATGAATTTTTTGATAGTGTTATCTAAGAGGCATGCTTGCTTGTTAGTTTTTGAAACAAAATTTGGATTGTACTTATTTTGTAATTTCTGTTTAGGTGGGAGACAGAGACATCTGAAATGAGTCACCTGTCAATTTGTTGGATAGCAGATGTGGTGTTGATGATCCATCAATGTTCATTTTTTTTTTTTGGTGGAACTTGTGGTCAAAATGAATTGAACTTTTGCATTGGAGATGTAGCACCATTTATAGGCGTCAAAAAATTTGTTGAAAAACTCTATATTTATACCATAAATTAGCACTCCAACCTTTTGTCCTTGTATGGTGAAAATGTTTTAGAAGAAAATGTTAGGTAGAAAATTTGACTAAACAACTCATTGGCTAAACCTTTTTCTCAATTAACACATAATATTTATTACATATAATAAAAATAAATGAGTTCTCCATGATATAATCACATATTCCTTGCTGATACTTGTACCATCTGCTATCGAGGAATTAGGATTTGGGAACCATCTGCTATGTATTGCCCTTTTAACTTTCATATTTTTGTATTACGTCGTCTTTATTTAAAAAAAAAAAAAAGAAAACAAACACGTTTTGCTTTACTCACCTACAATGAATCTGCTAACAATCTCCAAATTCCCGTGGATCAACAAAGCCAATTTTTTATGGCCGTAAACGTGTAATCTTGTAAAAGAATGTGGCATCATGTCTACCTTTTTATC